GACCCCCCCCCAGAATCCCGTTCTCAGAACCAACCTGCACGTTCACATAATTTCCTTTATTGAGGAACTGTTCCTGGGCGGGCAGTTGTTACCGTCCATTTCTTCATCTGGAGAGAAAAAACAGTCCACAAGATCGACAACTCTCCTAGTGTTTGTCAGTTGATGATTATGTCAGTGTCTGGTATGGTTCACAGGGAAATCTTTTGCGCACATTACAATATCTTTTGCTATTACAAACAATATAACAGAGGAGTCTGCTTAAAGTGAACTCTTTGGGACCTGAAGAAAGTGATCACTTTATCCGAGGTTCAGTTGAACCATTTTGGTCAAAATCAAGAGGAGCAACAAGAAAATGCCAAGAGAACGAGTTTTCGTTTTTATGGGTTGCTCTCCTTGCTCTCCATACAACGTAAATCAATAGTTCGGTCATCGGTCAAAAATAAAATTTATGGCGCAACTTATTGCGGAATACCTCCTCAACTATCGAACACAAGCTCTCCAGCTTTTGCGCAGGGACTTGTATCCATTTGTCTTAACAAATCAATATTTTTGTAAACACCTGATAGCTGTATTCTAGAAAATAAAAAGTCCCAGTGGATGGTTTCTTCTGATTTTAAAAGGTTTACAGCTGGATCAATTATATCGCTTTTAAAAGAAAGTCCGTCATTTTTTATCTATTCGCGAGATTATCTTTATTGAACGCATTTTTAGAACGTTTAGTGCAAAAAGTGTTCACTATAACATTAATTTCTTGTAACTAGTTTTGCCACTAAAACGTGTCCTTGGTGAGCTGTGACGTAGGCCATAATACATAATAAGTACAAAATGTGTATGAGGCGCAGGAAAAGCTATGAACAATTCCATTTTCCGCGGGAAAGAGATTTGTTGTATTTTACAGAAATTTATGAAGAAATTTTTTTAAATCTAACCTCAATTGCTGTGGTAAAATATGATTAAGTTAAGACAAATTAGTACAAACTGCTGTGCAAAGTATGGGTGACATTGATTCACCCGTTAAAAAGATAGCTATTATCTATTTGTGGTGTCCAAATTTTTGCGATTCAAAAGGCTTTTTAATGGCTGCATCGGTCGACATGCGGTTTTTCGCCAATAGATTCTTTAAAATATTCTCCAGATCATGGCACCCTTGGCTTTTTCAGTTTTGAGATAGTTTTGCTGCAAAAAGCTAAATTTCTTTATGTCGCCGATCGCTTTTGAATGCCGATGCTTCTGTAATTTTTGAAAACCCAGAAGTGATATTTCGCGAGGCGCATTTTGTTTTGAGAGTATAGATCTAGACCTTCTCATTTCTTCCATCTCTCAAGATTTATTGCCCCATTCCAGTAGAATGTAAATATAGTAGGCCAAATTAATTTTAGTTGACATTAAAGCACCGATCATTTCTTTCACCGAAAGGGGGCCCAGCTTGTTTGGGAATAAGTTGCGCCACGAATTTTAGATAGCGCTGTAGTGCATTCCGTGTGAGTGTAACATGATGTTGAATATTTTTTCCTTTTTTTTTTGGGGGGGGGAGATTTGTTTAATGTTTTCTTCATTGTTTAAGCAAAGAGCAGTGTCAAATCATAGAGGAAATATCTCTCTCTCTCTCTCTCTCTCTCTCTCTCTCTCTCTCTCTCTCTCTCTCTCTCTCTCTCTCTCTCTCTCTCTCT